CATCCAAAGCAGCGCGGTCGCCACCTGCAACACCAGTGCCCTCGGCGGTGCCATCATCCGCGTGTCGCCCACGGTTGTTGTCGCTCCGACCACCCACGTTGCCGTCCATCCCGCCCGTGCCATTCCGCCTGCCGTACCCCCCACCGTCCGCTAGCACCCTGCCGTTCAATTCGCCCTCGGCGGTGATCCTGTCCCTTTCGTCATCGCCTCTTGCCTCGCGTCCGCCGTAAGGCCCAGCACTCCGGCCCGACTCCCCTGCATACGCACCGCCATAGCCCGACCGCCGCCGCTCCACGTCTCCGTCGTCTTGCCGCCCACCGCCGCTTCCCCCTCGCTCGCCAGCTTGCCCCGCGTACCTGTCAGCAGAACCAGCGTCATCCGAACCACGGCTGAGGCTATTTCCTCCTCCTCCCGTGCTAGGACTGGATGCCGGGGGGGAAGGGGAAGGCGCCGGGTCGGAAGAGGTAGTGATAGTAGCTTGCTGCGCTGCCAGCAGGCGGTGCTTGAGCAGCTTCTTGGGCGAGAAGGCGGGGTTGGAGTTAGCCTCGTCGTGCTGGACACGCTGGTGGAGCAACTTCTTGAGGCCGAGGGCCTTGGGCGGCGGGGGCGGAGCGGCCGCCGGGGCAACCGCCGCCGCCGCTGCAACCGCAGTCGCGATTGCCGCCTCGTTCGCGGCCACCGACGCCGCAGCTACGGCAAGAGACATCATCGCCTTCGTCGGGCTCTTGTCATTGTTCCGGCTCCCGCTCAAGTCCGGGTAGCGTAGCGTCGCCGCCGACATCTCGTCCGTAGAAGCCGTCAGCCCGAGCCCCACCCTCGGCGAGATTTCCGCCTTCTGGGGAGCCTTCATCATCCGGTTCCTGTTCGCCGAGTTGGCGCTCGATGCAAGGACCGCCGCTGCCGTCGTTAGCTCGTCCTTCTCCTCCTCCCGCTTTACTATCCTCGGCGACAACTTCGCTTCACCCTCTTCGCCGGCCGCCGCAGCCGCCGCTTTGTTCCGTTTTTTCCCTGGCTTCTTGAGCTTCGGGATGGTGAAGCTGCCGCCGGCATCAGCGCCGGCTCTGGGCGATGACGACTCCGCCACCGCCACCGTGGCGTTGCTCGTCCGCTGCCGCTTCCGACCGTCCTTGCGCTCCCTTTTCGGCTTCAGCTGCGGCGCAGACATCTCGGCGACCTCGACGTTCGCGGAGCAAGCGGGGCACGCCCACTGGACATCGTCCTGCAACAGCGGCAGAAACAAAAACATGCAAAAAAGGAAAACGGGGTGGTGTGAACAACTCAGCACGTGGGAACGATGTCCTGGAAAGGGTTTCATCGATTGGCGTTAAACGGATGCGGAGAGATTTGTGGGGATGCAGCAATGGTTGAGATCCAATGAGGTCAGCCCCGCTGCGACATATTGCTGGCCCACGAGGGTGACCGCGCGGAGAGAAAAAAAACAGACGATATCGGCAACCGCGTCACAGCAGTATCTGACGCCAACGCATATTCCGTCTATACCAAGACTCCGCCTATACCAAGACAGCAAGGCAAATCAACGGCTCCGCCCAACACAGTGCTACGCGTTGAACACAACGCGCCGTCGTGCTAACATATGAAGCGAGAACACACGAGAACAAAAATATACCCTCACCGGGGGCAGGGAAAGCATGGGAGGGTCCAGACAGGTCAGGTGGTATGTGGAGGGGCAAAAGTCGCAGCAAAGGAGATCCCCTTCCTCCTTGCACACCGCGCACACGTCTTCGTGGGGGGAGTTCGCGGCCAGCGCCTTAAGCCCTGAGAAGCCGATGGCGGAGCACATTCCCTGCCCTGAAACATTTTTTCGACGACAGGCAGGAAAATTGCAAAAAGCACGAGATCGTGTAATGGGGACACATGCCACAAAATCAATCGAACGCAACAGTCATAACACTAGACGAGTCGGAGTGGCGTTGTAGCGCAATACCTAGGCGCAGACAACGTTCAAACGCAATGAACGTGTGAGACAACAGAGACTGCCTGTGAGTTCAAGAGAGGATGAACACGATTGAAATCAAGGACAGCAGAAGAAAAAACGCGTCAAGGTCGAGCGCCACGGCAAGGCACCACTGACCGTGCTTCGGAACGGTGCCATGGAGTGCCGCGTTAAAGTTCCTGGTGGCGATGTCTAGGTCCTTCTGGTGCCGCTCCTTGTCCGCCTTTGCCATGTCCTCGTACGGGATCCTCTCGCCGAAGGTCATGTCCCGCCATTCGCCGGCCGCCTGGGCGAAACGGTCCCGGTGCAGCTCCACCACGCCCTCCTCCTTAAGCTGATGGCGAAACGTATCGGTACATGGCGATTTCGGGTGACGTGCAATGCAAATGTTGTACGGTTGTCGTACTAACAAGCATCAGAAGCACCGTTGGTGGAGTGTGGAAGGGATGGCGATACGACCACTACAACCAATTTGTCATTCTCTGATTCGCATGGTATCTGTGCACAGCACGTAAGCACCTTTCAACCGTCAATGTTGTATTTACGTGCGACGATATCGCGGAACCCTGCGCACCCCGGACAAAACTGGGCACCGAATCCAACCTTCGTGAGCGACGCGCGCGACCAAAGAGCAGCGAAAAATAGAAAAGACCTAACGAAGGGAGCGTCGACGCGATACCGACGTCTGCGCGCCTGAAAGCAACAAGTATCACAACTCCACACAGCAGTGGTCGGGAGGCATATGAGAACACATCGCCACTAACGGCAGGTGCAGTGACGACATCAGCACACCGCCCTTTCCACCAAACGACGACGACAACAACAATCAACGACGCCTACATACCTGGGCTATCCGCTTGAGCAGGTAAAAGTTGTAAGCGCTCCGAGCCTTCTTCGGTTTAGCTGGGTCGTGCTTGTCCGCATCTCCCTTCGCCCCCGCCCCGAGCTTGGCCCCCTTGCCGCCCTTTCCCCCCCGGCTACCTGGCCCGGTCTTTGGCCCCTTCGCTCGGCTCATTCCTGCTGTTCCCGCCTGAACTACAGCGGCCGTCTCTTTTTCCTTCGACTTCGGAGATACCGGCGTCTTCTGATTTTTTTCCTGGGGCGGGCGGGTCGCAGATAGTACATACTTACAGTACATACGGTAGGATGGGTGGCGCTCGTGGACTCATGGACGGAGACTTGAACTTATGATGTTGCTGTACTTCGAGGTACGTTAAGCGCAAGTGGGTTACTACGGCGATTTCTTCGTTGTAATAGTTCGCATTTTTCTTCCGATGTCTATGCATATGAGCCGCGGACTACGTACTCGCCATTATATCTCAAAATTCATAAAACAGTCAAATGACGATACAAGCAACACCCGTTTTACAGAATATTACTTGGAGAAGGTTGTTACCAAGACGGGGTGGCGCTATTGAAGGCGCAATGTTTTCGATCAAGGTTATTTTGAACAACCCACAGCTCGATGCCATCGTCATACATGTCTCAGACAAGGCCGTGGGAAGGGCAAAGCGAAAGTTATGGCATGCGCAGATGCATAGAATCCATACGTGGCAATATTCAAAAGAAACCCGTCAACACTGGCATTCGGAAAAATAAACAAGTACATATCATACGTTACCGCGCTGTTTCCTTGATACTGCTGTATCTGATAATATGAATGTGATAGGAATATATATGAAGTCGAGGACGGAACTTTGATATATTCGTGACGCTGCGCCGTCGCCGCTTGTCCCATCTTCAAATAACGTGCGTCGCTCCCATGACCGCTCGAATCGGAGGCTGTTTTTGGGGGTTGTACTGTAACTTCTGTCTTTGACCTCTTGACCTCGCCGTCGCTGCTCAGGGGAACTGCTACCTGTTGGAGAGGAGTTGTGTGCACTGCTGAATTCTACGTCATGCTGGTGCATCCATGCCCTTCCTCGAGATTGAGGCTATCCTAAACGGTATGCCTACCCTACCCTACGACGGGCTAGGCAGAGCTAATGCGTGCTCGTGTCAGGGGTCGGGTTTTACGGATGGCGCCAACAACCAACCTGGTACTTTCGTAAAATCAGCATGGAATACCATCCGTCAGCTATTCATTTTTCGTGGTCCTACTTGTTTGTCCCGGCTCTACGTCTGCAGCCACACAGCAGGAGTCGTGAGGACAACGAGTGGGTGATACTCCCCTCTCTGCAGCTCTAGCTATAACACGAGAGAGTTCACCTCACAAGCAGCCTATGGGGTAACTGACTGCTACAGCTGTGTGTGGGAGTTCGTAACTGTCGTGTGGAGCAAACGTGGCATCATGCTGTGAGAGCTTGATTGAAAAATTGAGAGGGCGTCATTGACGCTCCCCGTAAGGAGGCACTTCTATTCAACCAACACCTCCATCACTGAGATGCAGAAAGACCCTAGAAAGACATGGGTCGGCAACAGCATTCTGCCTCCCCGGTTATCCCTGCCTGTCGTGCGTACCAACAGACCGGGGTGCGCTGCAAACCCCGACTACTGGCAAACCCAGTCAACACACCCATTGCCTGGCTGTGCTCCTCGTCACTCCGGGCCACTGGGCGCGAGAATCGCGACGACGCCAACACCCACGCCAACATACTCTCTTGCCCTCGCAGGCGGCGCCGTTGCCAAAGCTCGCGAGTCTGTCGGCATATGACTCTAGGTTATGCACCTTGCGATCACCAGTTGCATGCTCAAGGGCACTCTCCGACACCTCTGATCTCTGCTCAGAGCTAAACCAACCAAAACGCCCCCCACTCCGTGCGCGAAAACAAAATAAGATTAAATGGCAGGCGAGGAGTCCCACCTTCCTGGTCTTTTCGTCCTCGTCGTCGAGCAAAAACTGCGTCTCTTCGTCGTCCATGGGCGGCTAAGATCCCTCTCTCCCTGCCCTACCTCTCTCGCTCTCTCCCTCGCCTCTGCCGGCAGCCCGTGCGTGGCATTCGCTAGTGAGTCGAGGGGGCACCGCATATTGTATTTTGATGAGAGGGTATGTACATCACCATAGAACGGCAGCCGACCGAGCTGCCATGGACAACAGACAAACCAGCCCCGAGCTGCAAAGGAGAGACATACACGCGAGCGAGAGACAGGGTAACCTATGCCGTGTGTGTAACAAGAGGAAGAAGCACGATCAATGTGAGAGAGGTGTGTTGAAGATCTGCAGAACAATCGATCGAAAGCTATGAATGACAGAGATGATCGACGAGCAGAGGTAAACAGCAGGCACTCATCATCGGGTTCAACGCGAACACCCGTTCCTGATAGCAGCAGCAACAGCAGTGAGCTGACAGAACTTATCAACAAAAGCACTAGCGGAGAACCGGAGGTCTCAGCTGAATCAGATGCGACAGGAACAGGAACAGATGCAGAAACAAGTACCGCTGTAGAAGTGGAGATCTGTCCTACATGCCATCAAGAGGTGCCGAAGAACAACGACACATCGGCATCACCGGCGGCGGCGCCAGCGGCGCCAGCGGTAGCAACAGCAGCAGCATCGCCAGGTGCTCCCAAGAAACGAAAAGTGAACCACACGGCGAACGAATGCGAGCCGCGAGCGCCCAAAAGACGGGCATGCGTGGACAGGAGCAAACCCCGGGCGCGCCTCACTCTAGGACAGAAGCTGGAGATCCTGGACCTCCTCGATCAGAAGAAGATGAGCAGGGTGGAGATTGCCGCCATCTACAAGTGCTCGGACCGGACGGTGTCGAGTTGCTCCGTTAACCGTACCATCCTTGAAGCCGAAGCTGCGTCGTCTACTCGCAAATTGAAGTCCAAAGGGAGGCGCTCTGCAGGTTTCCCCGAGGTGTGTATGTTTGAAACGTGTCATGTACCTCTGGTAACATCTAGAAATCTTTTTACCTTCAGTGTCGATTGCTGTGACAGATTGCTGCAGCGGTTGAAACGGCCAGCGATGGATGAGACTGAAATGGTTTCAGACTTCCCACGTATTGCATTGTTGGATACGAACAATTTTTCGTTGCCCTTGTTTTAAAGCTCGCCTGTACAATGCCGGACGAACGAATTGCGGAATAGGCAGCAATCGCTCAACGCTAACAACACACCCGTTCGGCACATATGTGGCGAAATCCACGCCGGCGTTGTGCAGTAGTTTGTCCCTCTCACCGCGTTTTTTAGAAAGTAAACATAACCTAACGGAAAGACTACCCGTCCTAAATTAAATCTCAGTCGAAAGGGATGTGGTGAAGTCTTTTCAGTAAGTGGATTGAAACCAACTGGAGACTTGGCTTATTTTGAGTTTGTGTAAGTCTAACACTGGGTTTATCAGTAATGCCAGTTGGAGCTAAGAACAAAAGCAACCGCGTTTTTCTCCCTTGCCGTTCACTGGAGGATGTGGCTGGCTCAACAGATGGTATCACTAAGTGGCTAGAAAGTTGACTCTCCTTGATGTACCGACTTACATCACCACGACGTTTTGCAGGTGGACAGACGAGTTCTGTCCCTCATCAAGGCTTTCGAAAGCAGTCAGATCCCTGTAGGCCGAACCACGATCGCGTCCTTTGGGCATGCCGTCAAGGCTAGCTTGTTGGCCGCAGACGCTACGCCAGCGGAGGACAAGAAAAAGCTTGAGAAGTTCGGCGCCAGCGAGAAATGGGTGAAGAACTTGGTGTCGCGCAATGGGCTCGTCAGCAGACCACTGCTGCTCGCAGATGGCAGCGTGGTTGATTCCGGGCGCGTTCAAGCAAGAATGAAAGAAGTTCAGAAGGAGTACAAGCAGTACAACCTAGCGAACATCAGCTTCTACGATGGAGGAGTAGTGCCGAAGCGCTCGTATCTGTCCTGTTCAGAGGCTGAAAACTTGGAGTTGGCGGAAGACAACGACGACAACAATTTGGATATCTGACCAGCGGAAGCATGTTGCGCGGCTGGGTGACCAAGCGGGTGTTGGTAGTGTGGTGATGCAGAGTACAGAATGATGGTGATCGCGTTGGTTTTTCCCCAACGCGAGGATTGGTCGGCGCGACTGCTGTGCCGCACGAAAGTGTATATATGGAATATTTCGTCTGTTCATGGTCAATTGCGTGTGCCCTGATGCGGAGCTTGGCTTGATGGTGTTTGACACTTGAGTTGCACACAGGCTTCCAACGCAACTTGTGGGGTGTGTGGATAAGAATATTCGAGTGGATGGCGTTAGAGTGGAACATAAGAGCTTTCCTCGCCTGGCCGTGATACAACAGAGCGCTGGCGACCTGGTGTTGCACAGCATATATTTCCTGTGTGCCAAGGAGTGAGCGTGTTGTAGAGCTGAGCGTATGAACTGGAACTGGTTTGGCACGGTGGAATCAAGTGGTAGGGACAATGTTTACCCCTGTTCAGGATTATGTAGTGCGGTCACAGCAGTTGACTTCAACAGTTACAACGCTCGCTTTGGGCAGCGCAGCGTCTAGGGTGTACCTGTCGTGGGGTACATCTCAAGAACATGCTAACCACCAAGTCTCACAACAGCAGTAGGTTAGCTTCCGGGGAATCGGCCGAGCCCATTTCGCGGACAAAGACATTGCGCGAGTCCAGCTTTGGTCGACAATGGGGTTTCAGATGTTTAGTCTACATGTTTTTAATGTAAGACAACAACAAGAACAATATGTAGTATGCATGTTCAACGTTGGACAGAAACGAGATGCGATTCACCTCCGTACGCAGTTCTTTGTCTCTCAAGCTCGTGCAAGAGTTACCGAAGACCACGCTGGTACGTTTTCTTCACATACGAGGGCACCCTACCAAACCGTCATCCTTCAAGTTTCAAGCATGCTTCAACAAGCCTTTTACGATCGACTGCGCTATTTTTTCTCGGCAAGAATAACGTTGAGCACGCGCCCCTTCTTCCTCCACCGCGTGTTTGGCTGCAAAACTGTCTCAAGTGTCAAAAGATGGCAAATGGGTTCCGGATAAGCGCCCCGGCGCCTGCCGTGGCGAAGCGAGCGAACAAAGTCGTGTCACTTGCTGGTGCAACAACCCCGCGCGCGAAGGCCATCGCCCTCTTCGTGTTTGTCAGGGACTCGATCAAGTTTGGGTTTACCAACCGCTTCGACGCGGCGTCTCCCGAGGAAACCCTAGAGGCCGGTATGGGCCACTGCAACCCCCAGGGGGCATTGTTCGCGTCACTGTTGCAGGCCCAGGGTATCCCCGCTAGGCAACGATTCGTCAACCTTAGCAACGGGGTGCTGCGCGGCGTCCTGTCGCCGCCCCCTGCTCGGCTTCTTCACAGCTATGTTGAAGTCAAACTTGATGGGCAAGTTGGAGATGGCGACCCGCCAGGCAGCAGCGAACTCGGACAGGACAGTCTGGGCTGGATTCGAGTGGATGGTTACATTGCAGACCCGGCGCTGTTCCACGCCGCCCGGGCCAGGCTAGTGAAGGAGAATATGACGGAGGGGTATGGGGTACACGTTAACGGGGCAAACGAATGGGATGGAACCTTGGACAGTTTTTGCCAGATGGCGGAGGAAACCACGCAGGTTACGGAGACCTTCGATGCCTTTGATGAGCCTGGACTATTCTACAGTTCACCGGAGAATTTCCAACGCTTGCCGTGGCCAGTCCGCCTCGTTTTGGGGTGGATCGTGAAAGAACCAAACTCGTCGATCGACGCCATTCGGGCGGAGTTCGTACCCCCGTCTGTAGAGAAGCAAACGACTTTTGTTGTTTGGTCGAAACCCCCCCCTCCGGTGTAGCTATCGATGCAGCCAAGACCTGGGCGTCATGTCTTCTCTTTCATTGGACCGTTGCGACGGTTCCAAATGGTAGATCGCTCGAGGAGTGATGACACATACGAACATGAAGCGTTGAGTCGCATGTTGTGAGCGGGAAGTTTATCATGGATATAGGCGTGTTGATCCGAGAGGTAGTTGCTCAGCTCCGTCGCTCTTGCGTGTGGGCCAATATTGTATTGCACTTTCTGGTCTGGGTAACGTATATGGTGTCGTGTTCAATCATCGAATAACAAACGTTTAACCACCGGCTGTTAAATTGCTTGGGTACAGGCTGTGTGTCGCGGTCTTGCTCCTCCCTCATACGTTGGGTTTCAAGCCCTCTTACCATGTTCCCCATACGCCAGTTGTAGGGTGGGTGCTGTCCGGTAGACAAAAGTACATGTTTCGCTCTACGAGTGCACGCCTTGGCAGTCAGTCTTCTATCCCCAAGCAACTTGCAGCCACGTCATCGCGGGGGTGTTTCCGCGCAATGCATGCAGCTCAAGCAGCCCGCGCGAATCACCATCGGGGGAGGCACATCTTTGAGGTGTGCCTACACTACGAAAAGTCCGATTTCTCCTATACGGAAGCATCCAGACATGACCGGTGGCTACCCTGTTGCTTGTGCGAGGCCGTACCTTCTCTTTACATCTCGATCAACAGATCATGAGAAAAACGTGGGTGCGTTTTCAGCCTGGTGTCGATGTTGCATCCCATTTGAAGTCCTGTTGTGGACCAGCGGAACGGTGTAGTACGTGGGCATTGTGGCAGGGAGCCACACCACAAACACGCGAATATCAAATAATGCAGCTGTGTTTATTTTCTGGAACCTCCCACCGCAGCACGGGTCTCAGTGCACCGAATCGCAGACATCCTGCTTCATCACTCATTGCTATGTACTTCTTGTTTGACTTCCTCCTCCGTCTCGCGAAGGAAGCAGCGGGCGTGATGTATGTTTTCCACCAACCGAAGCGCTTATGTGCACGCCACCTCTTTCGCCACGCATAAGTGGTTAGGTTTGCGTTTGGGCGGAGAACCTCCCACCGTCGTTCATCTTGTTCTCAAAGCGCGCGGGGGGATTGGGTGGGGTTCCACGCGATACGATTCGCAGACACATCTGTCTGTCTCGCGCGCGGGGATTACCGAGGGTGGTGAGGTAAGAGGAGCGTTCTTTAGACGACGTCAGAGGCTTACGCCTCGGCTACAAGGATGGAACAGCATTGGCGCAATTGTGTTCTAGCGCTTGCAGCAAAGCATACAACAAGCAGTGAGGGATACAATTCCATCAGCATCGCTCTGCACCTACAGTCCCAGGAGCCAATCCGATGAATTTTGTTTGAATTGTGTTATCCGTAGCCATCGTACAACACGGTGTCGAGCGTCAGGCCGTGCGCCGGCGCGGCATGTATAAGACGAGAATCTCTGACGCGTGTTGCAAAAATCTCATCTATAACCTCAGGCTCCAACCGACCAGCAGCCACGGCCAACAAAGCCCCGACCATATTCCTAACCATGCGATACAAAGCCCCGTCCAAGTGGAAGTCCAGTCGGATGTTACCGCCCCCCTCGTTGATGACCTCCGCCGAGTACACGGTTCTCACGGTGTTGAACTCTCCAAGCCCGTCCTCCATTTTGAGAGTCGCCCTCTTGTCAACCTCGTTAGAGAACCCGGCGAAGTCATGCTTCCCCACGAGCTTGGGTATCGTTTGGTGAAGAAGGTCGACGTTGATGGGCGACCCCGCGGCTTGGCTAGCATGCACCCTGTATAGTCGATCGAGAGGGCTCAACACGGATCCCACGAACAGCCGGTAGCTGTAGCGCTTACCGCGAGCGTTGAGCATGGAGGACCATGGCCAGCCTTTCTCCACTTGCGAGGGAGAGCTTGGCGGGGCAACCGACATATTCCACACGCGAACGTCCTGGCAGAGAGATGACGCACGGTCCGACAGTTTGACGGGTATGGGTGTGAGAGCTGTTGGCAAGATACACGGTAAGGAGGGAACGGAGCACGCTGCAAACATTCCATTTCTCCTCCGTGACGCCATAGTCTTGTACCACGGAAGAGGTTTTAGTGTCTAGTTTGGTTAGAACACCTACCGTAGAAGGCGGAGAGATGGCACCCCCCTTCGACCGATTTTGAAAGCTCGATCGCTCTGCGACCAAGTGTGTGCGGGAATAGCCCGATACGTCTACGGAAAAATCGCCCAACGAGATGTTTCCGAAATTACCATTTTCGGTGTTAGCACATGCTTGGTTGTGGAGCAGTCGAGCTTTGAAAATCGGTCTAAGGTGGGTTGCCGTCTCTCCGCCTCTAACGGTAAGCGGGAACGGTGCACGATCCTCAGAGAACGGGTCTCTTGACGATGGCGGGCTATGATTCAATTCACCTCTGGCATCATCTGGTTCATGGAGTACGCGAGCTGCGAGAGGTCTTCGTTGGCGTTGGGCAGGTCGAAATGCACCGCTTGGCCAATCGAGTGCACGCCGGTGTCCGTCCGTCCAGCGGCAACAACCGGCACATACGTCTGAAACCGCGTCGACAGCGCCTTTTCGAGTACTCCCTGTTCGCGAAGGAAGGGAGAATGAAAAAGGCACTTTCAAGTACGACAGGGAAAATGGGTGCGTTCACGAGAGAAACTTTGGCCACGCACTGCTCTGTCGTTTGCGTTAGGTATTCTACGAAAAGCCAGTGTACTCTACATCACAGCAGTCCGAGCACCGCAAAAAAGAGGCTGCTCCGGATGTGGGATCCGGCGAAGAAGCCTGATGTTCTTCATTGAATGCAACTGCTGCTTTGGTGTTAAATGTAACACAGGCGGTGGAGTCAAGCGCCAAACAGAATGCCGCCATATTGTCACTGCTCAATCAGAGTCGGAAAGGTGCGCCTGTTATTTCATCATGCTGCTGTAGCTGGAGGAACAATCTTGCTGAAATCGGCATCCATCCATACCTGTACGGTCGGTAGGTCGTTGCCTTGAAATTGAAAGCCTTTGTAGTTCGTTCCGTCGTACATGACTCGCGATACAAACCGCGTCTTTTTGCCCTCCAACAGCTCTCGGAACACTCGGTACTCCCCCTCCTCGTCGAAACGGGCCTCTCTTCTGGCCTTTGCCTGTTGGCTTTCTTTGTTGGTGGTAGTGTGTGGTGGCGTGGATCTGTTGAAGTCTTCTTCCGCCCGGCCATGCGGCGCAATAGGCGATGGGGTACACGCGCGCAACACACGAGTAGCACTGGAAGTGTCGACGGCGAGGTGTGAAATGAATCCAGCGCTGGGCCTTAGCATGTTTCCATTTGGCCAACGCTGATGTCTCGGCCGAGCGCGACACAACACCGGCATGGCAACATGTGAGGGCAGCGGAGGAGTCGGCACAGCCGTAGCAGTTGCGAGGCCCACCGACCCTCGGAGCAAGGTGAAGCCGCCGCTCACCACTGCTGCAAGCATCCACTGCCTGAGCCTATGGTCTTGATGGCAGGATTATGAGCAGAGAGTTATGCAGACCGTAAAGCCAGCTAGTTGTAGCGTGCGTTTGAAACAGCAGCAGTAGATGATGATCCTGTGGTAGGTGTCCACATGCATGTGCAGCAGCAGCTGTGCTGCATCAAGCATGCTTGCTTCCCGCCACATTGCTCATCTGCGGAGCCCCTTTTGCTCGCAAAAGAAAAAAAGCTGCTGCCTGCGTTGCTGCTGCTGCCGGCGCTCCCACATCCGCTGCTGCCAGATCGTGCAGCATGTCGATGCCTCCCACCGCTTCCCTCAGCGCACTGACCACGGATGAATCATCTCAACCTGTGCTTGGATCAGTAGGCGTGGGCGTGGAAGTGGAGGACGAGGAGGAGGAGGACGTGTACTACGACCAACCGCCGCCTGGCCCATCGCTGGGAGAGAGGCACCAGGCGCACGATTCACGTCGTCCGCTTACGGCAGAGCAGAAGGCCGAGGCTGCGAGATGCTTGCGAATGTCGACTCTATTCAAGTTTTGCTCGGACGAGAGCATCACTAAGGTCGTCGAGCACATGACACGAGAGCCGTTCTCGGAGGGCGAGGTGGGCTTTTGTGGTGTTGCTGAATCGTATCCAGCTACATCCATGTCCGATGAATCAAAGGTCGCATCAGCAGTTGTGAGGATAGCGAAATTGACTTTAAAATTCATTCCCTCCACATCGATCCATACAAAATTTGAAAGCAGCTGCCGCACCTCGCTGCCGCACCTTGTTGGAAATTTTTGTAGCTCTGCTTGGAGCACGAAACGCTTCCAAGATGCTCATACGCTGTGGACCGACTTGTCAGACCTATTACCGTGGGCTTTGATAACTCTTGATGGGGGGGGGGGGCGCTAGTGAAACATGCGTGTGCAACGTCAGAGCAACCAAGCGGTGACCTGTCCAAGCACGAATATGTTCAACATGCTGTTCCTTTTGTTAAGTCTATTACTGCTGTATATTGTCTGGGATTCAAAAATGGTGTGGTCGTCACTGAAGCCGACAGCAGTAGAGTGGCGGTGAACGCGCCCGTGTCGCGACGTAGACACTCCACGCTGGTCACTCCCCCCTGCATCAAACCTCTCCCCAAGTGCAACGATCGTCTCTCACAACTGCTGTTGTTGCCCAATCATCGCAGGAAGAGCGTGTGTTGCCTGTTTCGTAGCAGCAGGACCACACACTACTTTTCCTTTAGCATGTGTGCACGAAACCGACGGGTGCCGATTTTGTGTCCCGCATGGGCACCCGCCATGTACGCTGTTTTGAAATGAAGCAAACACATGTCTCCAACGCAACACATCAGGCTGGCACGCGCACACAAGCCTGATTCAATTCCCCAAACTTGCTGCGTGCGTTGCAATTTCGAATGCCGGCGGCATCGCTTCACGTGTGTACGTGTGTGGTGTTTCTTTTGATGTATCGAAGGTGCTTCTGGAGCAAGGTGACCCGCAGACCAGAGTGTTTCTCATTACCCAGGGCTCCGTGTCCCGCCTGCGCTACCTCAACGAGCAGCTGCACCAGGTCGAGACTGTCGGTGGGGAGAACCACAGGTGAGTTGCTTTGTCCAGCCGTTGCCAAAGA